ATTGCTACGTTTACCTTACTGCATCGAGTATATACTCGACTCCCAAGAACTATAACGCAAAGTGCCTTCTAACGGTTGATGGGACGTCACAGGACAAAGGTGTCCATCAGTCTCGTCCAGGGTGCTCGTCAGCAGCGGCAGCGGGTTGCGCGCATCTGGAAACACGCATCGATAAACGCGGAATCTCGCGTGTAATCGGCGATACGCTGGCAGCCTGCTAATAATTATTTTCGTGCCACCTGTTATCTTTGTGTGTCGGAAGGCGGTTTGGTATCGTCAAATCTCTTGTTTTCACGGGGGGATATTTACAGATAAGCACGGACGTGGTACGGCCCCGTCGTCGTTCTAATCGGTCCAGGTATCAATTATCGTATTTCGGTCAACGCGTAAAAACCGCGAAACTCGTTCCCCACGGCAATTTTCATGCTGGATGACGACGAAGGGTCGCGCAGGGAACGCATAAATTACGCTAGTCTCGATTAAATACGACACCGGCCGCGACAGAGAGTTATGTTGGCGTCGCCTCGCGACCAAGATTGTAACTGTTCCGTACTCTGTTACGGGTACACTGTCACAGGCAGAGATACGCACGAGAAAATGTACGAGTTAGTCCCTGGAGATATAGATGGTGACCAACCAGGTTAGACTAGGTGTACGCGTGCATCTCGCGGAATGATTCTTGCCGACTGTAGCTGACCGGTGCGTCGTCACGACCGGTAGGAATTATTTGTACAATGTACACGCCCACCTCGACCGAACGATAAAACGAGTAATCGCGATATAGTTTTAATATCTGTTTTAACATCCGATTTAGCATTCGTAAACACTGTGTACTCGGTGCGGTCTCGGTGCATTTCCTTTTCTCCCGTGGTTGTCTGATTTAAGTGCTGCCCGGTGGGATTAAGATCGGAACGTGCATACTCGTTCGCGAATATTAGAAGACTTAATAATTTGAATGGAGTTCACGCGACGAGGAATGTTTTTCTTTGGCCTCATTGTCTTTAATTTGCGTTGGCGAATTTAAAGCAGGCAACGCGGACTCGATTGTTTGTAATTATTTGTAACGTCATTGTCAAACTAGATTTATAGGATTATATGATAGAATTAAATTATTAGTGCCATTTTGTGACGTTACATTTTTCAGTTTGTGGTTGACTAATTTTATGCAAATGCGTAAACAAGTTCAAGGAGAAGGAATTTTGATTTAATAAATTTTGCAATTAAAACATTCGTGTCCTGTTGATTTTACATTTTTAGAAATGAAACTTGACATCTTAGATAGGTTTTCTTCGCCACAACATATTATTGTTATGCAACATTTTCATCTATGAAAAATTATGTCTTTAACTAAATTAGAAAGCAAACCCAATGAAACTTTGCCTACTGAGTTCGATATGAATTATTCAACTGTTGACATTTGCAATCATTAATAGCTCAAAAGAAAGCCTTTCACCATTTCGTTGAATTTTTATTACAGTCGTATATTGATTTTATATTTGAATCATTTGGTTGGCTACATTGATACCGCCTACATACTTACTACGAATTAAATTGTGTATTCGTAAATTGCAACTATAAATTACATCTTTTTAAAATCAGATAAACGTATCCGTAGTACGATTTTCGGATATATTATCTTATGAGGAAACCTTTTCAACCAACACACGCCGATTTTAATGAAACTTATATGAGACGTAGTTTTCAAGAAGATATTTGACACGTATTTTTTCTTCTCGGCGAACACCCACTTTAAACGGATGAAAACACCGCTAAGTTCAAAGGTAAAAGTATATTTTTTACAATACTTCTGAAACTTGGGGGCGTAGAAAGAACATATAAGTTGTTCATTTCGTTGTTCAATAATTTTTTTTCGTCATAGCCCAAGTTTCTAGTGGATGCTGACTGATAAGAAAAAATAAATGTCAAACATTTTCTATAAACCTATGTCTCACACAAGTTTCATCAAAATCAACGTGTGTTCATTGAAAAGGTTCCTTTATTAGTAATGTTTTTTTAAAACTCCCGATAATTTATTACCCTGTTAGGACTGAAAAAGCGTTCTTTTATAAGAAATTAAAAGAAGAGTTCTCGACTGTTCGCTGGCTAAACCAAAACTAAGTAAAAACGAAGAACGAAGTGCCATTTATACACTCATAATTGTCTGAAAACACATATTATTTGTTTCAAAAAAACAAATCTTCTTGTTAATTACGTACAGAAAATGTCAAAATGTTGGCATCAACCCAATAAATGAAGGGATAGCCGGTCCTTTGTTCCTTTTCTTTAGAAACGTCAAGCGTTTCGATGAGTTGCATGCTCATTGCCAGTAAAATAAAATCCGTATTTTGCAAACAGGTGAAAATCGTTGTTTCTATTTTAACATTCAACTCACAGGTTTTATCGTGTTTACGTGCACCGCAGCGTATCCTCGCGTGATATTCCGCGCGTGGCTAGGCCGTTTTGCGATTTTGCAATAGCACACGTACGTGGATTAGCCAGCGAGGTGAACGCGCTCTGTATACGAGCCGCATTACTTCATATTGCACAGAATTCTCTACACAATCACTGCTTTTTCCCCGAATTTGCAACATTTCTTTGTGCATGCATCTTCAGAAATGATGTGTAGAATCTTCTATGGGATTCTGTCTAGGTGAATCAGTTTACAGAACATTTTTTGAATGATTGAAAGAATCGTATTATCGATAGAGGTTATTAACGATTACAGAAATTGAGGAAAACAAGTATACATTATTGATAAGTAGACTATTATTAACAATAGAAATAAAATCAGAAAAAGTTCAGCAGTCTTTGCACTTCAACAATTTAATTAGTTTTGCAGAACTGTATGTGAATTTATATTTTCATATTAAAGATGTTTATTTTTTATTATATTATTAATATGAATTAATTGGTAGCGATAAATAATATATTTCGCAAAAGTAAGCAAATTTAATATTATTATTGCTATTTGTTGTTTTCTAGTGAATTTTGAAATAATTTTAAAAATGTAGGAAATTAGTAATAAGACTATCTATATATTATACATATAATATTATAAATATAGATAATATGTGTTATAAATATAAATATAATGATATTGATATAA